TTGCTGACAAATTGAGCCTCCGATGTGCGCAAACAGGCAAAGGGTCTGGCAAATGAATAGAGCTGCTTGAGTGGCTAAAACGCTTGTTCCCAAAATGGAATGTGCTGCAGCAACAGGTACTTAGTATGGCTTAGACAACAAAAACCAACCGCTGACTGAAAGGATTGCTCACAAGTCTGTGCACGCCAGGTCTGTCAATCAGTTACAGATCAGATGTGAATGGGTATCTTTGACTCAATCAAACTGGCATGAAACATTTAATTATGTTGTAAACAGTATTTCATCTCTTCTTTATTAATTTACGTGCTCTTGTCGTGTGCTGATCTATTTGTGCTAGTCTACACATCATTTAGCTGCCTTGGCTATTCATTAATAAACGCTGACAGCAGCAGAAGAAGCAGCTGCTGCCTGCGTTTGTTTAACTGCAGAAACATTAACTTGGCTAAAGAACTTCAATATGTGGGCCTAATAAATCTTTTGGCTACCTTTTGACTGTAGGCCCAAACAACGAACAATGAATCATAATGCGCAGGCATGGCAAAACACCTTCGAGCCAAAGACAATATCAGGACGGGGGCACACTCATACGCCCCGTGGCACATGCAACCACCTGGAGGCACAACAACTTGTGGCCAACTGCTAATGTTATGGCGTGTCGAGAAGGCAGGCGGCAATAAAGCGTAGCATAAATTAGCCAAATAAGCAGGCGGCTAACAAACAAAGCACAACACAAAACTTTAATGTTTTGTGCTAGGCCTAACACAAAGTCAAGGCCAGAACAGAGCCTGGGGGCAGGCCAAACAGCTCGGCTTTTCGGAGCCCACAACTTGCGTAACATGTTTGTTATTGTTATTATTATTGTTATGGCTGTTGTTGTTGTGTTGGTTGCTGTGCGTTACATTAGTATAAAAAAGAAGCACACACACAGACTCGCATACATAAACCATAACCGAAAGGGCAATAATGAAATGTCTTTATGTGCCGATTATCTGAACATAACCGGGTCCAATGTGCAATTAACCGGCATGCGGTTTTAACCAACATACACCCACACACACACACACACACACACACACACACACACTTGTGTATATGAACTGATATACATGTGTCATAAATACTATGTGTGGCAGAGATTTGGTAAGCAGCTCGAAATGGTTGCCAATGGCAGCTTTTGCTGACTGGCTTTTGGGTATTAAATCAAAAGCCGCTTTTAGTTTCAGCTGATTATCTCCATTGTCAGTTGTGAATCCAGCAGCTGTTATAAAACTTAAATTTCTTATCAAGCAGCTGTCAATATTTCATAAGCCACTGCTCAAAAAGCATCTCCAACTACATCATAAGATTACATCCCTCACATTGAGCTGCCTTTAATTCAATTTTTTTTTTTTTTGGCAGAAGCTAAGCCCATTTATTTATTAAAAAAAAATTATTTCATACATTCATAACGGAGCTCATCAAATTGTGCGCTCGAAGTGAAAAAGTTAATAACATCAAGTCAAGTTTTGCGCAAGCCGGCAAAAGTCTAGCAAAAAAAAAAAAAAAGGAATCGTTGGACATGCCGTGTAGTTGTAGCTGATGTGTCCTGGCTGGCAGCTAGCCAATATTTATCCAACTATCTGCGGCTAGTCGGGCTTTCGAGCTGCGGGCTTTCGGTTTGTTTGCCATTTTTAAGCTCAACTGTAAATGAGATTTTGCACATTTGCTTTGTGGCCATCTTTCTCATTCATTTTTGCCCTTTGGCCCTCGAATGGCAATTTGCCACACAGCTTTGACGATTGCCCTAACACACGATGGACCTCACTTTCGCCCAACAGACTGCCCCTGATTCTGACTAATAATCAACTAGCTGTCGGCAGTTTCAATGTTATTCCAAAAAAATTCGCGAAAAGCGAAAGAAAAATAAAGAAAATAAATTAAATTAAAGAGTACTTCTTTACAGGCACGCAATATGCAAGGACCTTGAAGGAGGCTTCATTTTGTTATTGTTGATGAATTTAATTTGCAAAAAACATAAACTCAACAAACCTTGAGCCATAATGCTCGAGGTAATACCCTGCACCCAAATCCACAATTGGCTTGAAATGTATAAATAGGAATTAGCGTGCGCCAACAATAATTATTTTTGTGTAAAATTGTTTTCTCTGCTGGGATAGGCTATTATAATTTAGTCATGAAATGTATAACGCATAGAAGGGGACATCTTCAACCCCATAAAGTATATATATCTAGATCAGCATCCACGTTGATATGGCCATGTCCGTCTGCCCATCTGTCCGTCTGTCTGTTACCATGCGAACTAGTCTCTTATTTTTAAAGCTATTGTCCTGAAACTTTGCATAGTTCCGTCTTTCTGCAGGTGAGAACCAGCCAGATGGGATCACTATATCATGTAGCTGTGATAGGAAAGATCGGTCGAATATTGAGTACTTGCAGGAAAAACTTGTTAGTTTAATAAGATATCTTACCCAAATTCGGAATTCGTATGTTTTAATATACTTACCTTCGATATTTGGTCGAAAAGTAAAATTTTATATGGAAATATATTCTGTTCCAAACAGAGTATTTTCGAGCTTCACCTTTCTCACATATCTTCAAAAATGGAAATGTTTACAAGTGTATTAAGTCATCGGCGTACCGAAGAAGTTCTTAACTCAAATTTCTTTCATTTAATATACCCTTTCTCATCTGTTTTTGAACTGTACAGGGTGTAATCGGCAAAAAGATTGAAGCTAAAGAACGTTGTTTCCCTTGGGTCAAAATAAAAACCAGCTAAAGTCCAAATCTCTACTTATTTTATGAAACTCTCGCATAAGCCCGAAATTCCATTAGATTAAATTTAAATATATTTATAAAAACGGAATTAAATTGATGAAAAGTAACTAGATTCCTTTGCGCCACACTAGACACGTGTTCTTTAATTTAGCTGCATCTTTGGCGCTCTCTTTAAAGAAATGCCGAGTTCCAATTAAATTACCGATTAAGACAGCTGCGTGCTTTCACATACTGTGTTGCTGTGCTGGTATGCTTTTGCCTTACACTGTTTAAATTCAAGGTTTTCCATTTAACAGCAATCTGCCCATGGATTTTAATGATATTTTTTCGCTCGCTGCCACACAATGGCACTTAGGTGGCAGTTGTTACTGCGCAGAAAATTGCAATCGACAGGCTTTTCACTTTTCATGTGATTCGTGGAAGCGATGGCCAGGCCAACTGACTGACTGCCACTCGGGCGTATGCGTAATGCGTAATTAATGATGGCCACGAAATTGTCAGTTTTTGACAAGTATCGCTTGATGGACCACTGTCTAAGTCTGTGGCACTTAATCAAGACCAGACAAATCTCCAAGAAGCTTTCAATTAGTTGGCGCTTAAGTAATTATGTCTAATGCAAAAACTTGTGCCGCCTGATTGATGGCCATGGAGAGGAAAGGGCGCAAGTAAGCAGAGCCCATTTCAATAGATAACTCGTGCAAGAAACACAAGTTGGCCCGCATCTGCCAAGGCACAAACACACACACACACACACATATATATATATATATATATATAGTCAGTACTGTGAAGGACTCTTTTGCTATTACTGGCACGCTCTGCTGGTCAGCGTGAAAGGACCCAGCGGCCAACAAGCCAACTGTAGGCCACCATGAATACCCATTCACAATATAAAATGTTTACAGTGTCATAAAAATATCAGCAACAAATGCGAAACCAGAACAAACAAAAGCGAAAAAAGAGCGCAGAGCGCACAACGCGTTAGACAAATAAGAAAATGTTGAAAGCTGTCATCGGAAAATTATCAGATGAAAGCAAATGTTAAGTGCCTATGTGTTGACTTGCCAAAATAGAACTTTCCACTGAAACTAGATGAAGAACAACTAGAACTGCCTTTAAATTAAGTTCAAGTAGCAAAGTTTATCAATTCTATAAATACTATTTAAAAGCTGAAAGCTCGTCACAATTGTAATCCTGTCCAAGTCAAAAAAGCTGGCTTCTTCTTTGTGCATACTTTAAGCCTTTGCTATTCATTCCTTTGACAATATTCTGACATTCCTGAGGTATTCTGTTTTCTACTCAGCGAAAGTTAATTCTTATCTTCATTTATTCTGGAATTCCCTTACCAACCATTTTTCCAGCATTCATTTAGCATGCTAGAAAATGTCTGTTCTTTCTTGGGAAATCTTCTGGCACTCTTCTTGCTCATCTTTAGTCTCCCCATTGAACTTGCTTAAACATATAGTCCTCAATATTCTTCAATTCTAATGGCACTCTAGCTAAATCCTACTGATATTCTCTTTCTACAGAGCGAAAAAAATTAATTTCTCTTCTGGCTTGCTTTTATTCAAGATTTGTGTCAAAGGTTTGTGTGCAGCTCTTGCGTGGATTCCCTCGGAGTCAAGTGGCAAATGCATATTGCAAACATCAAGTGCTTTCATATCAAGCAAAATCATCTGACTAAAATACAATGTGCCATTCAACACCCACTCGCACTCGAATATGCACACGCCCACAATCTGACACACAAGTCCTACGAGAGCTCAACATGAAAATCAATAAAAAATATCGCATTACACACTTTACCCGCTTTGTTTTCGGTTTTATGCAGCATTTTTTTTTTTTTTTTTTGTTTGTGCTTTTATTGTATATGTGCTTTGTGTCGATTTCGATTTTGGCGGCCACGCTGGCGTATGATTGATTTTGGGGCGCAAAGGCACCACAGGCGCAGGCACTGACAAGTCGTCCACCGTGACTAGGCACAAAAACGTTGCATAACTAAAGGCGCCGGCAGCCGATACAAATTGCAATCGCAGCGTTGACATGTGGCAACGTGAAGCAGCTGCCATCAAAGAGCTTCACGAATTGCCAGTCAACAAATTCGATTCAATAAGCGCCTCCCACATGGCCTGCACCAATTTTACGTTTTTATACCCTCCACGCGACGAAAACGGGCAAAAAAGAGTATAATAGCTTTGCGCAAATGTATGCAACAGCCGAAAAAAACGTACATCTGCGAGCCAAAAAACTATATATTCGCAAAATGATGAGCCGAGTCGATCTAATGATACCTGCCTGTCTGAATATACAATAGCTAACGACCTGAACTCAAAGCCTATACTAAAATCTGTAAAAATCGATTATACTTGAGATTCTTTTTTAAAAGTCGGAAATGTTAGGAGCTAAGTACCAAGTACTTGGTATGTAAGCTATCATATGCATTATAATGATATAGAATAAATTTAACCCTTTTGATAACTTCTACCAATCCACAAAAATTAAGCTAGAGAATTGGGTCTGGGTATATACACATATTTAGCTGCTATATTTAAGCTCAGAAAATTTCCTAAGGATCGGACTATAAATACCGAAGTTAAACAAGACTTCAACATTCCAAGGCCTGAGGCAAAGGTAAGAAGAAGCGTAAACTAAGAGTATGTGTGTGTGTGTGTTTTTGTGTGTATAGAATTTAAATTCAGGGTATGTCGTAGTTGATCATCTCTGGCTAGGACACGCTTAGTTTTCATCTTTTTTTTTTTTTTTTTTTGATGATTTCCTCTTCACGAAAGCGACATTGGCATGACTGTGCTCCATATGCATGAGCGTGGGCGTGGCATAAGCTGATCAGAATGCGAGCCTATATCTGAGCATGGAGATGAGTTATTTCGAGTTGTTGCTGGCTTGTTTCTAAGCGGATTACGTGGCCGAATGATTGCGTGGAATGTCAGCTAAGAGCTTAAATTAAAAAAGTATTGAATTTTGATTGTAAACCGGAAAACATTGCGTGAAACACTCAATGCAACCGAATAGTCGTCACATATTTGTCTAAACGAGGCGGAAAATGGCAAAATGTGTACGACGCGTACAAATTGAGGCAATCATAAAGAGAATATGTTTTGAGTATATTGATTGTATTTGAGGAAATGCAAACAGCAAAAATCCGAAAGTGTTTATCGTAGATAGAAGCACACAAACACACACGCACAAAAATACACTCACGTACACGCATGCACACACTTAATGGCAACGATTTAACGCAATATTTAAAATTCGATTTTTATCTTGTATTTTTGCAGGCCAGCACCAACGGGCAACGGGCAACGGGCAACTGGCAACAACAGAGAACAACGTCAGTCAGGGAGGCAACCCTAATGGGCGGTTGCGCAACCAACAACAGCAACAACAACTGGCCACAATAGCGGCAGCAGCAGCAGCAGCAGGAGCTGCGGTAACAGGAGGCATCGCCAACGTGTTACGATGTCAACGTAATGAAAACAAAACACAAAACTTGCATTTCCGTTGCCGCTGCCACTGCGCGTAGTGAAAAAATGAAGTCCGTCATCCTTTATCCATATGGACCGCTAACTGGCGGCGCTCGCTGCTGTCGCATGTTGCATGCCAAAAATTTGGCCATAACAAGCGCAATTTACACAATTGTAAGTGCAACAACTGTCCTTGTTATTATTAAAACTCTGTTAACATCGCATTGCCTTCACGTCCCGCCGGGCGTATGCGCAATATCATTCTCAACTGTTCGTAAACTGTCCCAGTGGCAAAGTTTCTCAATTCTTCCACGTAATTAATACAAGTGCTGAACAACTTTTATGATAATTCCTTTTTTATCTTGAATGCAAATGGGAAAACCTCATTAAATTTACAGGCAACTGACAAGAGTATTAATACCTACGGCAATGTATCAAATATATTATAAATTAAAAGTCAACTTTACCAGTTCAGAGTATAGCTTTTATTTAATTTTTTCATTTCATAACATTTTTAAATATTATTTGTGGGGAATTTTTTAAGGTTTCCAAGTAAACTGAAAAATAGAAGCATGTCAAAAGACATTTTATATGGCAGATATAGTACACAGTAGTCCGATAAAGCCTACGACTACGATTTATATGCAGCCTACATTATCAATGCGAATCTATGCATAGTTTTATTAAAGTCGTTTGTAATACACGCGAAATAAGTTGAACTTTTGTTATCAACATATCTTAATTTACAGCCCGGGCACTACCTGAGATCTATACACACCCACCTTATAAGAACTATGGCCAAATATATGCCAGCTTTCCGCCACGTTGTGGATTCGCTTTTTCTTCATTTTGTGCCTTATAAATTACAATTACATGACGCTCATTATGCCATTTAATTTATGTTAATGGCCGAATCGTGCATGGGATTTTTCTATGTACTAGCAAATGCAAGAGCCGAGCCAAAGAACCAAAGGCAATGGCAACAATAACAACTGCAATTTGCGTATACAAATTATGTGCATGGAACCTGCGAGTCAAATTTGTTGTTGCATTTTAAGTACCTGGTTTTCTACTTCTTCTCTTTTGCCGCCACGTGCAATTAGTGGCACGCTTTGGTGTACTCCATCGGGTTGAATTGTAAGGATAGTCACGGAACGTAATGAATGTCTCCGCAAAGTGTAAAACTTTGTATTTAAATATTAATTGTGCTGTAAAATTGCAGCACATAAATTTATGGCCGTTTCCTCTTCGTTTGTCACGCAGCCATTTTAAGAGCAAAGACATGTTTTATGTACAAACAAAAAAGGGTTTCTCGTTTGGCACCTTTTGAATTGTCGGCACGCATTGCGTATGCGTAATATATGCGCTAATAATGTTCCCCTCTCATTGTGTTCACATTTCTCTGTCATTTTAGAATATATCGCTCTTAATCGTCCTGATCTATTCGTGGCGCATCAATGTTAACATGCACAAATCTGCCGAGCTACAGGATGTCTACTACGGTAAGCACATGTGTACCATACATATACATATGCAAATACATGAGAATGTGTCCCGGCTGGCCTTAAGCTGGGCATAATAAACGTTACACTTTGATAAATATGCAAAATGTGGCGTGTCTCCCAAGGCATAATAAATTAGACCATAATAATAAATAATTTAAAATTTATTTAACTACACATTTTATGTTTATCTTATATTTTATTTATATTTATATTGTGTAGTTTCACATATAGATAGTTGTATCTTTAGAATATTTGTGGAATTAGTTTTATTTTTGTCTTCTTATCTTGCAGGTGTGCAAATTGCATATTTTGCCATAATTGGCACACAAATGTCGATGATATTGTTAAGCATCGTGTTGATATTTGGCATCTGTCGGGTAAGTTTCGTTGTTTGCTAAAAAGCTTTTACCCATTTTACAAAACTCAACAATGGCTTGACAAACAAGCCAAGCACACACACACGCACACACACACACACACACACACACACATACACATACACGGACTGGAAAATCAAATAACTTCAAACCGAATATATGCAAATTATGCACATTTTGTGCCTGTGACCGAGCTGTTTGCAGGCCATAAACAAATAAGGCGCATTCAAATGTAAATTACCAACTTGTGCGCCCATAGGCGTATGTGCCACGCCCCCCAGTGTCTATCGCAGTGCGACGAATGATGAATGAATGAAAGGACCAAAATAAAAGCACATTAGCGACATTTTGAATTTCAAATGTCCTTTGATTATAGATTTCAGTGTGTGAATTTGAAATATTTACTTCAATAAATCAATTTTCTGATAAACATATTGACAATTTATTTAAATAATTAGAACAACTTTTTTGAATGTTAGATGTTAAAGTTGATCGAAATCTAACTAAGCTATTTGCACTTATTTTTAGAGAAGTCGTTATTCGTAATTCGATTTGGATATAACTTGGATTACAATTGAATATTTTTTAGAACAAAGTAAAACAAATAGAAATTTTAATTTATGCCCATTTATGTAAATTAACAAAAACGGAAGGGCAAAATATTTGAAGCTAAGTTCTAGCTTCCACAGCTTAACTATGAATCGAACGAAAGTAAAAAATATTTATTTTGGTGTCTGAAATAAACATATTCTAACGCAACTTTAAGCTCTATAGAATAAGAGATCGAAACATATTGAACAACTTATTCGGGTAAAAACTGACAATGGCTTGAACTTCCTGTGAGAGAATTTATGATGGAGTCATCGTAGAAAAAACAAAAAAAAAACGAGAGATGTAAATAAAGTCGAACGAACCCGCCCAACATATTTAAAAGGGTTGCCAAAAATAAAAATAAAATACCAAAAAAGGAAAATAGAATGCCACGATGGTTGAAAATGTAGACAATTTGTCACACAATTGGGTACACAAAACCATCTGTCGGTTGGCTGACGACTGGCGGCGGCGACACATGACAAAGATTATATATCCAGTTGAAGGGAGCATTGCGTGGCGCATTGTGTGGAATTTTTTAATTTCAACCTAACAACTAAAACAAAAAAAAAAAACAAAAAAATAGAACACAACCAGAGTAACAACAAATGCGAGACGGACGCCAACGAATTGCCCTAAAATGTATGCTACACTTATTTGTATAGCTCAATGTGTGCACAGCACACGTTTGTGTGTGTGTGTGTGTGTATGGGAAAACTGAGCTCTGTATGTTGGCCAAATTAATTGCAATTTGCTCTTAGGCGGCAGCAACCTGGCTGAATGGTAGCCTGTACCCGTTGCGTTTAAATAATGCATAGACCATTGGCATTAATTAAAGCTGGCTGCTTATTTTGACAACAATTTGTATGGAAAACAATTCCATGAAAGTGCACACATTTTTGGCACTGTGTGTGTGTGTGTGTGTGTGTGTGTGAGGATTGAGAGGAGCTTGGCAGAAACTCAGTTAAAATGAGAAATAACTGTTGCAGGTTGCCGAATGTGATATACCCTTGCAGACATTCGGCAGCTAAGTGATTTATGCACTTCATTGCTTATATGGGATTATATGGATTATATGGGATTTAAATGCCTGGGAGATTTCGCTTAAGAGTTTTAGTTTGAAGGATAATAAGTATGCTAGAGCTAAGACATCATGTGTGAATTTTATAGGCTTGAAAACTATAATAGTAAGCCCGTTAAATGTGCGCTATTAAAAATGTGAATATTGTTGATCTAAAAATTGCATATGCAAAATGCGCGGCTAAAACTGTCAGCAACAGCGAAGGCCCTGACCGGGAAATAAATTTAATAAATAAACCTCAAAATGCTACACGCGAAAAAGTGCCAAAAAATGCAATCACAGGTTTTGCACCCTAGTGAGATATATGACAGCACTCACATACGCACACACGCACACATACAATCAAACACACACACAGGGGGAGTGGGGGGCGGGCAGAAAATCAATGCGTTCAATTTGATGCCAGCTAAAGGTGTGCAAATGACTTTGGTTGCCTGCCCATCGCAACCTTTACAGACTATGCTCACAGAGGGATATAATATTTGTGTACCCGTTCTGTTTTGTTGCCCACAGGAAAACCCCGGCCTAATTGTACCCTGGATAATTGGCTATATTACGTTTATGGCCTTAGAAGCTGTCGCCATGGTTTATTCGAATGTATTGCGTGATCATGTGAATAAGGTAAGTCGATTCCTGTGGGGCGACCCGCAAACCGACAGGTGTGGGAATTCGGCGCTCCAGACAAACGCTTTTAATGCATATCTAAGCTGCGTAGCTGGTGGTCCATTTATTTAATGAAAACCCCCCCCACAATCAGCCTTATGCTCAGCCAGCAGTCCAACAAAAGCCTCGGCCCAGCGGGAGCTGCTTGTGAATGATATCAATGAGAGTTCTTGAATGCCGCGTTGGCATAAATCAATTCGAGCCGAAGCACAAAGATCTGGCAAAACAAACAAATAAATTGCACGGACTCAATGCTAGAAAATAACAATAACGAGAACAACAACAACAACAACAACAACAACAACAATGGAATCAACGACAATAACAAAAGACGAGGGCAAAATCCGTTACATATGTAAAAGTTGCTTTTTTATGCTAAAATCAAACAAAGAATTTAGGTTATGGTCGGATGCTAACGACAGTTAAATGCACTACAAACCAGAGACAATGAAATTGATATCTAAACACAAAACATATGCTTTCTTTGTATTGCTGTCTGTGACATGTTTGCATGTTCCCCCAATGACGTTTGGCTCTTTGCCCGGTTTCCGAAGGAAGTTTTGCTGGTTTTTTTCTTTTTGAAAAAACTATTTTTATATGTGAAAGCATATATATTGAATGAAAGTGTCTTAATATTAAAATAAATAAATATCATAGCAAACGAAAATTAAATATTCAGATAAGAACTTTCACATTAGTTTGTCACAGCGCAACTCTTTCGCTTTAAAGGTTTTAGGTTAAAATTAAGGTTTTTTAGAGCGAACGCTTTACCTTTGAATGTTGTGTTAGTCACAGTCTAGATACTAAAAACTGAAGTGCCTGATTAACCAAACGAAGCGCAGAGTCGAGTGCAAAAAAAAAATTAAAAATAAAAGCTTAAACGCACACTTAAAAGTAGTAGCAAAGCGAAGCCGCAAAGCTCAAAGCTGACAACGGGGTTCATTCACTTACTGCCACACATCCAACTCCCCTCTCTCTCACCATCTCGCTTACTCCTTTACTTAGCCAAAGCGGGCGCCATGGCATGCCATAGGCTTATTACACACATGCATTCACACTGTCTCTCTCGCTCTCGCTCACACACACAGGCAAATAGACACTGTATGTGTTGGGCATTTTTGCACGCCAACTTTTGCTGCTCTCCGCTTTGTCCCCGCCGCCATTTTTATTTGTCTTCGACATTTGTTTTTGCGGCTGCTTCTATTACGAACGTGCCCCGACGCGCCCGCTTTTTTGTTGCAATTGTTGCTTGTTTTCTTCCACCAAAGCGTTACAAAATTGCCGCCTCATGCATAATTTATTGCAATTGTGGAGGTAAAACTCATGTTTTTTTCTTTTTTCTTGCGCTCTCTTTGCCAGCGCTGCAAAAAATATTTGCCCCGTTAAAGTTTTGTTCCCCTTTTTTTTAATGCCCAGCAGCCCAAAAAAAGTACAAAAAATAAACGAACAGAAAATTGTGTAATAGGTTATGGGAAAACGTGTTTATATTATGAAACCGTCAATATTAAACAATTTAAAGCCGAATTTGTCAGAATTTCCATTGCACTCATTTAACAAACAAATAAATTCGAAATTTGTTAAAGGATTGAGCAACTTTTGGTTACAAGGTATCTCTTAGACAAACAGCCAAGTGCTTTAAATCTTACCTGGTTTCTTGCTAGCTTCAAACACACCTGAGTAACTAGAGCTGCAATTAGTTTGTCCTTAGTCTTTAGTATTTTAAATTGCATTAATTTTTGATTAATTATTTGAAATAAATGTATATTCATTTTACAGCAATTCGATGCCATGTGCAAAGCGGAGGTGGCATTTTTTATAGCACGCGCTTTTATCAATGTGAGTAATAATTCAAATTTTCGGTGATTGTGTGCGTGTGTGTTACCAATCTAAAATGTTATAAATTAAATTAAATGAATAGATGTGTAAAACAATCATTAAGCTGAGCTTGTGGCAAATCTAAAAAGCTCAATCAAGCGAAAAATGCTTGAAAAGGGTCTCCCAGGTCAACCAAAGTCGAGCATCAATAAATTATATGGAACTCTGAAAATTAGTTTTATTTGAATGTTGAAAATGAATTGAAAATTTGAATTGAATGGAATAACAGAAATATAGAATTATTACAATTGGACAGTCAGTCAAAAATTTGAGCAGGTCCCAGCTTCTAACTTTGCTTGTTTATTTTATACTCTACATTGCTTTAAATAGCCCGCATATTTAAAAATTCAAATACGCCTTCTATATTGCCATTGACTTGAGTATTGCTTCATAGTTTCTTTTGCATAGAATGACAAAGGCAATTTTCAGCGACAAGCCCATTAGTTTAATAGACGTTTGAATGCCCTCGCCCTGCATACTCTTTCCCAACACTTTGATGGACAACTTCAACAGGTGTAAGCCCAAGAAGCCGTAATAATATATCAGCCAGGGTATCATAAGTGCGGGCGCGAACTGTTCAAAGTGGCAAATTATTCCAAACTAAACACAAAAGCAGCGAAAAAACCAAATCTTACGGCTAAGGCAGCATAGGTCAAACCTAACCAGGCATTTATATGTAAAAAACCAAAGCCACAACGCAATTGTCGAGTTAGCTCGGGAGGAAGTATCAGAAATCGATGATTGTGCCACAGAGTCGGCAGCTTGATAGCCAGGGTGCAATAGTGGCACGTAAAGATATACAGACTCTCCAGCTGTTAGACAGTTCAAAGGAATATACACAGATAGATAGAAAGATATATAGATAGATGGGATCTTGGGATCTTAATACCATACCACGCCGTGTAAACACATTAATAACAGAATCCGATGCATTATGAAAAAATAATTGTTGGGTAAATTCAACATTTCCATAGATTGTCTAGATGCGTCCATCTTGAGTTTGTAAGTGCGGGCCATCAATTTAATTTGTTTATCGTATGGTATCAGCTGGAACATTACAAATGACAATTTAAAATATCGCTGAACACGTTAAAACTAATTACACAATTTTGAAATTCTATTTCTTATATATTATTATTATTTTTTTTTTTTGAAATTATACAACTTGATTACAAAAACTTTCTTTTAATTCGACTATTTACATAAATAACTTGGCTTCCTACAATACAACTTGAATAAGCCTCCAATCCAAGTTAACAAACAATACAAATTGATTTCTATTTCAGAATAATCTGTATGAATTTATGTATTTATTTATTCGTTTAGGCGAATTTCCAATAAATGCTATAAATTATTTGATTGTGGTACCATTAGCTTGTAAATGAACGACTGTGCAATACTCTAACTGCAACATGCCTGAACACTATAGAGTAGTTTATAAGGCTAGAAAATTTGTGACTTCAAAACCAATATACCTTCTCTTTCTGTCCATGGCAACAGAGTATAAGCATAAAAATGTTTTTCTGGTCATTTATAGTGTGAGTGTGTGTGCATGTGTGGGTGCTAAGTGCAATTTATGTGACTCAATTAAAACCTTTTTCTCTCTCCCCCTCTCTCTCTCTCCCCCCCCCCCCCTCTCTCTCGCTCTCTCTCTCTCTCTCTCCTATCTAAATCAAACAGGTGCTTGCCATGTGGGGCGTATTACGTTTCTATAATCTGGTGCGTTCGGGCATCACCTGGCGCGGACCGGAGGTAAGTGCGATACAATTCATTTTCCTCAATAAATGGGAAATGAAACAGAAAAACGCAAAAAACAAAAATCGTTTAACATTGTGTGGTCTGTGGCTTTTCATAAAGTAAAGTATTAAGGCGAATTCGGCAAGCCGAAGATTTAATACCCTGGAATGAAACTTAAGTTTATGTGAAGAGAATAGTGCTGCATATGGTTCAAGATATCTTGATAGAGAGTAAAATATATAGATGATTTATAATATAGTAGTTCGATCCAGCCAATTCGACTTATGCGACTCAATGCAAAGCTTCTGAGCAATTAGGAAACATTACGACTTGTTCCTGCGAATTATTCCTGATCAGGACTATGTAAACTTTATGATATCGGTATCCATTACAAAATTATAAAGTCCTCAACATTTGTTCGGTCATCACCTGCTGCGAGCCGGAGGCAAGTGCGATACAATTCATTTTACTCAATAAGTGAGAAATGGAAAAAAACCGAATAAGAAAAAATCAATTAAATGCGATTCGATACCCCAGACTATGGCAATTATGTGAGAAGAATAATACTCATACTGGCTCAAAATATATTCTTAAGGGGAAAGGATTCAGAGTTTCCGTTCGATTACGAAACAGGACAGGATTACTTGGTGCTGATCAGGAACTTGTGCATTGGATGGTCTTTATTCTTTGCCAAAAATTATAATGATTTAAGTATTTATCGGCCATTTGTCGTTGCTCTTTCCAATCGAAACCAGGCCAAGACCACGATCTTCGCGCCCATGTACAAGAGCGTGAGCACCCACAGCAAATCCTCGGTGGTCCATTTGGAGGGTAAACGTGCCAAGCAGCGCCAACGGCAGCGCCGCTACAGCGTCGAGGCGGAGACCGGCTGCTGCGCCATTTTCGACTTTGACTTTGACTACGATGACGACGATGAGGAGGAGGATGTGGAGGACGATGCGGTGGGCTACGATTATGACGACTACTATGACTACTATGAGGACGAGGATGAGCAGCAGCTGGAGCTGGAGCTGGAACAGCAGGAGGATGCGGACTGCAGCATGCTGGGTGCGAGTGCATCCAAGTCGCGCACCCGAACGGCAGCGGTTCGTGTGAAGGGTCAGCGCCAGCGGCGTAACAACAACAACATACGCAGCGTGCTGATCAATAAGCGGCACAACAAATACAAGATCAGCCGGCCGCAGACTCAGCTCGAGGTCATCAACGAGTCGGAACGCAGTGCGGGCAGCGGCAGCGACGAGAACGACTCTCTGCTGGTGGCCTATGACAGCAGCTCGTCGCTGGCGTCGGTTTGACATTGGCCGCCATGCCACAATGGAACTGCAGCAAATGGGAGCCGGAGCCAGGCAATGCCACCAGCTGATGACAGCAGCGGGAGCGGGAGCACAAGCGGAAGCGATACCAACAGCAGCAGCAGCAGCAGCGAGGACGACGACAGTCGCGAGCATCTGCAGCCTGGAGCGCGGCTCTCTGGCAAAAGTTGTGGTCAGCGTCAGCGTAAACGCCGACGTTCACTGCGACGCGTCTACTGCGCTGTAAATGTGTCCATAATGGGTATATTGGTGGCCGTGGAGATATACGCACAGCTGGCCATATTTCTATAGGTAGATCAAATCGCTTGAGGTCCTCCCAACAAAGAAGGCACAGCGATCAGCACGTGACAAATAAATGTAATAGGTATCAAACTTCAAAAATGAATAACCATTTAAAATATAAAAACATAATATATAAAGCAAACATTTGAGAAGATATGCAAATTAACAGCAGACTTGACCTTTATTAAATAAAGACAGCGAGCGGGGAAAAACAAAGATGCAAGAAAAGAAAAAGAAAATTCAAGTGTAGCTAATTTCCATTGCAAATAAGTTAATCTCCACATAGTCCAAGACCTAATCTAATCTAAGCTAATATTAAAAGGCTGCCAAGCCAAAATAGGATTAGTTTGATTCACGATTTGAACCAGCTTTCTGCGGCAGTGAAATGTGTTTGGAAGGGGGGTTTTGCTTTGTCAAACATTTTCGAACTTAACACAATTAAATTTTTTTACTTTCAGTTGCCCGTTGTGCTGAAAATATTGCAATCTCTAAATATTTTCATAAACAAGTTGCGGGCTAAATTAGATATTTTCTCAAAAATTGTCATTGGGTCAACCACAAAATAAATTTATTTTCTAGAAAACTGGGTTTCAGTTCGTTTGCTTTAATGTAAAGAAATACATTGCAGTTACAGCCTTGATATATAAGATATTACAAATACATTTTAAGATCATTTATCAAAAATAAACCATAAGATTATTAAAAATAAAAATAAGTAGGAAGTAGACAGGGATCTCAAGTATTGCAAACTTTAGTATTAGGGCAAATTCTCAACTTAAGCGGAAAGAAACAATATCAAAATGTGAACGGGTTAAGGAAGAGTGAAGCGGAACCGATTTACTAGAAAAAAAAGACCATTATCTAAAGATTATTTTCATGTTGAGCCATAATAATACAGTTTTCAAACTCTCATAACTGAGACTCGCAATTTACTCACAATTTTTGTTTTAATGGAGTGAAGAGCTTTTCGGTAAAATATCTATTGCATTAAATAAGATAAGCAACTTTCTCTCTATCAAAATAGTATATAAATATAAGTGTATTTGCGATGTTAAGATCAGATAAAAGTTATTAAGGAAAATACTTAATACATAATTATCGCACATTTGGCTCTTATCGTTGAGTCACGTACAAAAGCAAGGCAAACTTTAATTTATTTTTTTTTTTTTTGAGGCTAGCCAGAAACAAAGCTTTAAAAACTAACATTGATGTCCGAAGGGATAAGGCAAAGCTAAAATTAAATATTTGAATTGCCTGAGTGCGTTAAAAATATTAATTGTAAATAAACAAATAAAAAAAAAAAACGAATAACAAATCAGCCAGTTCATATTTATTATCAAAAAAAATAATAAAAATAGAAAACAATATTCATATCGCTAATTGTATTATTATTGTACATAATATACATATATATACATATATATATTTAAGTATATACTTGCTAAAAGTACAGTTGCGCCAAAAACAAAAGCTAATCAATTGAATGTGTGTTAATGTATACCCGAAATCAAACCAAAAACTGAATAAACACTTGATATTTGTGCAAACATAGAACACAAACGTGTGGAACACGTGAGCCATACCCCCATATCACACTCATTTTTGTTTCCCCCAGCCTATTATCGACCCGGCACTTGAGGAATGCCGACCCGGCATCGTTTACATTAAGTTTATCTCTATAAGGTGCGGGACTTTTTTTTATGGTTTTCCACACGATTAATTTTGAGCTGCGGGTTTATTTTGTTGCCGGATTTTTTTGCATGACCAAATGAAAAGTGTGTCGTGTAAAAGTGGCCTCTTCCTATCTCTTCCACTCTCTCTCACTCTCTCGAAGATGTCGCCAACTGCCCTTTATATATGTGAGGAGGCGTTAAAACGCAAACTTTGTGACGTCAGAGTGCTAGCCCATACTAATTAAATGATAAGGGGTAAAAACGCAAAAAGCGTTCGCACGACACGCGCAACACGTGATATAACCAAAATAATCAGAACCGCCGGGCGTACTCCAATATGTATATGAATTGACTCGGAGCGAGTTGAAGTACCCGAAAGTACTTGCAATGATAATGAAAATTGGGACTCATCATAGTGGGAAATTTGAGATCTAATCAGTTTGGGGCATTAGATTTAAAAGCGCTTGGGTTTTTCAGAAGGTCCAACAGTAGAGAAACATGTGGAGTCCGGCATTGATTACTCTCAGCGTGCTCCTGCTGCTAGCCAGCAGTCAGGCGCGTCTCCTGCCCATCCACAACGAGCAGCTGTGGGAGGCAGATATGATCGAAGTGCCGCAGATGTTGGAGCCAACCCTGCCGGCGAATAGAGCGGGTAAGAGCTTGGCCCAAATCCTAGACAGGATGACATGATGAACTGGAAGTTGTCTATTCCTCTTAGCTGGCTGCTCCATTAAGATACGAAGCACCGAGATGAAAAATCCACAACCGCTGCTCATTAAGCCTGGCACCACGGAATTCTTTCCCTTCTCGGCGGAAGGCTACGTGGATGTGGAGCACGACAAGACCATTGAGTTCCATTGCACCAGCAGCCTAGACTCGCCGCTTTCGGGCAAATCTGTGACGGCCAAGTGTGTGGGCGGCACGACCTTTAAGGTTGGCGACAAGGAGCATGACATCTCGGCCATCAAGTGCACTTCCTGGCCAGCTTTCGTTGGCAAGAAGTCCGGCTCCAGCTGCAACGGTGGCACCACCCTGATCAAGGTGGGCTTCGAACTGAGCGGCTCCCGTTTTGCCACCCAGTACGAGGTGTGCTTCAATGAGGACGAGGAGGTCACTCGCTATGTCCACCACACTCTGGACTCGGGCAGCAATTACTATGCAACTGGCGTGGATCGTATCAACTTCGCCCCCGGCGGCTATTTCGCTGGCAAAAACGTGGACAAGCTGTACACGCAGGCGGTGCAAAAGGAGACCATCGACAAGGCCCTAGGCACGGATTCGGCCAAGTACTTTGACTCGCCAAAGAACGTTTTCCTCGCACGCGGGCACATGGGCGCCAAGGCCGACTTTGTCTATGCGCCCGAGCAGCGTGCCACCTTCCTGTTCATCAATGCCGCTCCCCAATGGCAAACCTTCAATGCGGGCAACTGGGCCAGAGTCGAGGATGGTGTTAGGGCGTGGGTTACGAAGAACAAGAAGCACGTGGACTGCTGGACTGGCGTTTGGGGCGTCACCACGTTGCCCAACAAGGATGGCAAGCAGACCAGTCTCTATTTGGCCTACGATCACAATGGCAATGGCCTGATACCCGTGCCCAAGCTCTACTTCCGCGTAGTCATCGAACCCACCTCCAAGAAGGGCATTGTCTTTATCGGCGTGAACAATCCGCACTTGAGTCTCGACGAGATCAAGCGTGATTATATTCTGTGCGAGGATGTCAGCGATAAGATCAACTACATCAGCTGGAAGCGCACAGACCTTCTGGCGGGCTACTCATACGCCTGCGAGGTGTCCGAGTTCCGCAAAAAGGTTACCCATTTGCCCGCTTTCTCCGTTAGCGGTTTGTTGGTTTAACTGGTGCAGGATTAGCTTAGATTGAATTAAAGAATTTTTTGCGAATAATTATACATTTCTTTAATATTCATTTTCTACCCACAATGGGAAAGAAGTTGATTTTAATAGAAGTCTTAGTCAATTTTATCATCCAACCTCGATCAATATGCATAAATCCAGGGCAGCAGATCTAAATATCAATTGAATGTGGCTCGGCTCAAGGTTCGAACCAGCGCTTTTTCCTTTAACAGCTCTACAAATGTTTATAATCAGAATGCTAGGAAATAGAAGCTCTACCTAAAATTGATAACCTCCCAAGATAGCTAACTAAATGTAAAGCTTGATGCCAAGTTTAATTGTGCTCTGGGACTGGTTTATGTTTCAGTTCGGCTTGGAATTTAGGGCTTAAGCCCCTCTTGGAGCCTAGTTTCATACATCATACTGATTCATAAGTCGGAATGAATTGTATGCGATGTCAGCTGAACTTCTCAAATAAGTTTTGTTGCAATTTTTTTGAATATTCGATTAAACAGTTGTCTTTATTGGAACAGCCTAGACAAGTAGACCACCCTTGGCCGTCAGAGCGGGCAAATGTTTGACGGTCTTGAGGAAGTCGGCAACCTCGCAGGCATAGGACCAGCCAGCCTTGATGTCCGTCTTCTTCCAGTTGATGTAGGTGATCTGGTCGCTGACATCGTTGCAAATCACGTAGTCCTTCTTGATTTCTTCCTCGGTCAAATGGGGATTGTTGACGCCGACGAAAACGATGCCGCGATGCGTTGAGGGCTCGATGACCACACGGAAGTAGAGCTTAGGCACGGGAATCAGGCCATTGTTGTTGCCATCGCGGGCCAAGTAGAGCGGTGTCTGGACACCATCTTTGTTGGGCAGCGTGGTCACGCCATAGACGCCCGTATAACAGTTGACATTCAATTGGTTCTTGGACACCCAAGCCCTGACGCCATCCTCGACACGTGCCCAGTTACCGGCATTGAAGACCTGCCATTGGGGCGCCGCATTGATGAACAGGAAGGTGGCGCGCTGCTCGGGCGCATAGTTGAAGTCGGCCTTGGCGCCGAGATGACCGCGTGCCAGGTAAACGTTTGAGGCCGAATCGAAATACTTATCCGCATCGCCGCCCAAATCCTTGTTGATGGTCTCCAGCTGTGTGGCCTGCGTGTAGAGCTTGTCCACGTTCTTGCCATCGAAGTAGCCCGCCGTTTGGAAGGTAATGCGGTCCACGCCCGTCTCATAGTAGTTGCTGCCCGGGTACAGCTGGTGGCGCGTGTAGCGGGTCACCTCCTCCTCCTCATTGAAGCACACCTGCATTTGCTCGGCAAAACGCGACGAGGATATCTCAAAGCCCACGCGAATGACCACGCCACCATTGCACGTGGCGCCCGACTTTATAGCCTTGAAGCCAGGCCAGGAGTTGCAGTAGAGATCCTTGAATTCGTGTTCCTTGCCATCCACCTTGAAGGTGGTGCCGCTCACGCAGGTGGCAGTCAACAGGCTGTCGGAGTGTGTGCCAAAGCCGCTGGGGCACCACAGCTGCAGGGTCTTGCCATTCTCCACCTCCATGACGCCCAAATGGTTGAAGGGATACAGGTTCTCCGAGTTGGTTTCCAGATAAACTGGCTCTGGCTTGGGCAGACCGCCGCGGATGGTCACACTGCAGCCTATTCGGAACCGAGAGAGAGAGAGAGAGAGAGTTAGTCAGAGGTCTACACGATTTGAAGATCGATACTCACCGGCAGAACGGCTTTCTGGCAAAGGCTCGACATAGATGGTACGCTCGTAGATCTCATCCTCGAGAACTGGCGGCAACTCAATGTCGGGCAGGGGCTGGTAGGGCACGCGAGCCCAGGCCGCTTGAGCAGCTACTAGCAATAGGAGACTGAGGCACTTCATTTTGCGTATAACCAAAACATGGGATGCGACCCAAACTTAAATAGGCTCGACCACCAAATATAACTTAACATTATCTAATAACATTTGGCAAATTAATTAAAAATATTTCCCAAATCATCAACACGAATATTGATAAAATTCCATATCAATTTAAAAAGATTCGATGGGCTATTTAAGTGCTGCCTCGAGTGCCCCGCACAGATAACAATTGTCGGAGAGAATCTTCAGCTGACGCAGCAGGGAATACGGAACACTTAAGGTGGAGAGGGGCTAAGCTCAATATGTCAAAGTTCGACGGCCATTGGCTTTTATTAATGAAATGTAAAATGAACAAACGGTGTGGATGACAACAGGAAGCGCAGCGAATGAAACGAAAGCAATTAGGCTCAAGGACAAACGATAACAAGGATATGGCAGAAGCTCGAGCCGGCGCCACTTTGAGGGGCGCGCGTATAATTTGTGAAAATTGATGATTTGTTTAGATTTACGAATGAGCGAGCAAAACGAGCCAAATTGGCACGTAGCAAGCACAAAAACGACACCAAAAATGGGCCAAAAAAAAAAAGCAGAAAGCAAAAAAAAAAAAGGACAAGGCACCCGGATCACCAAGGAAACGGAATGTGCTGCCTAAGGGTCCGGTGTGCCAAGGTGCTTTGCTAATTGATTTGATGCAGATAAATGAGCTAAGCTCAATTCAGCCGCCGCCGCCGCCCGCTAGATGGCGCCAGATAATGATTAATGAGCGCCACGGGAACGCAAAACAACATTTCGCAGGCGTTAGGCCGTCTAATGTAATATATTACATGTACATATATATATATATATAAATTATATATATATACAGATTGGTCTGCTGTTCCTTGAATTTTAAAGCCCATAAGCTTGAATAACTTGTTGATTCTAAATAATTGGCATAGCTGCCAATAAATATATGCAGTGTGCAGGTTCATTAATATGCTTGAGTCCATTTGCTGAATAAGTCAATTAGTGGGCAACTGGCTTTGCCAGCCGCAAATATGCTGCCGAATTCAAGCACTCCATTTAAACAATAAATTTGTAAATGTATATTAAGTGTGCCATCCTTAAGCTTAAAATAAATTTAGCTTTAAATTCAATGCCAGCTTTGGCTAATTTAAGCTTTTGCACACGATTAACTAGACTGAGGTTTATATTTTTATAATTTTCGCATGACTACCTTTGGTGTACCTGCACAAATGACAGTTAAGTTAACAAGCTAACAACAATAATAATCTAGCCCCAGCTACATCAAAATTAAACTCCCCACGATTTACGGCATGACAATATAATTTCTGTTCAACGATGCAAAAGCACACATTCAATTTGTGTTCACATTGAATAGTTTGAGTGCAACAGAAATTCCATTCACAACTTTGCCGGCCCACCAAGTTGGTTGAGTTTATTTTAATTTAGCGGGAATATACATATATATTTAAACCGATTGTTCAAGAATGTTTAAGTTGTCTAAGGGATGCCGCAGCTTGTATGCCAGAGACGATGAGCTCTTGTGATCCTAGACATAAAACAACTTCGGATATAGATTTTAATTTTCGATTGATCTTTGCTTTGGCGGCCATCTACATTGTCGCTGCTGATTGATTCACTGACTGCTTAGTCCGAACTGTATTAGCCTTTTGTCATTGCTTACCCCTTGATATGTAAGGCTTAAAAACTTCGTCTCAGCTGCAAATATCTATGCAACATGTTATTTAAAACTTGAGTCAACGATTGTAAATGGAATCCCAGCTATTTCCCGCTCATGTTGTGTTTCCATCTTTCCCCTCTCTTTTTCACTCCAATTTTCTATCGGTGACTCATGTCAGTGCTGTTTGAAAAATTAAAGCTAGCAGCTTGGCCGAGGCAAGGCCGGGTAATACCCGCTGTGAGTTACGCGTATGTGCTTGAATGTTTATATGTATGTATGCATGTGTGTGCATGTGTGTATGCATTGGTGTATGCATGTGTATGTATGCATGCATGCTTGCTTGTAAGCATATGCATATGTTTTACTTTAACAAACGTCTTTTGAATGATGCCCTGCTATGCGATTCTCATAAATTCAAATAGGCTCCGTGGGGCCTCTTGCTTTCACAGTAAGTGAAATGTTACATTAAAAAGTGCGTGCATATGTGCGTGTGTGTGTATGTAAGTATGTATATATGTATGCATGTAATTAATCAGCCAGTGTTGGAAATCTACTAAATTATATGTATGTAAGTGCGTATGTATGTATGCAATCCTATATCTGTATGCCTTGCACGCATACAAGCTTAAATTTAAGATCGCCATTTTTTATTATTTATATATCATAGTACGGGGACTAATTAGTTTTCCAAGTTTGCTGAGTTTGATTAAGATATTTAAAGAATTCAACGATTTTTAAAGCCTTTTTCTCGTCTCGCGAACTTTTCCTGAAAAGAACAGTTACAAAAAAATACTACTAAAGTTATGATACCTTCGTTAGTATTTCCATGGCCAACAATAAATGAGTCATATTAATAACATATGTTTGTGAATGTATAGAAATGTATGTGCATGTGTATGTAGCACAGGCAGATAGATGCCTTTGATTGATAAGGCTGCATAAGCGTGTTTGCTTAGCCGAAGGAAAAGCGAGTCAAAGAAGCCACCGACATTTTGCACCTTTTCAACAGGTTGTAAATGGGCGACGGGCAAATTGAAAGCGGGACTCAATAAAGCTTTTGGACAGCAAAGAGGAGAGAACAGAGAACTTCAGGCTAACGACTATCTGTCTCCCAGTCTGTCTGTCTGCATGTCTGTCTCTTTTTGTGTGTGTGTATGTGTGTGGGGTATATCGACGCTGTCTGAACTCAATGATGGATTAAATGTATTTCAAGAGCGTGAAAGCTAAAAGGTAGCACAAAGTAGCGCATTGTGGTTACATAATAAACATGAAGCACACTTCAATTTGGCTTAAGGCAGCAACAGACACACACACACATACACACACAGATACAGAGAGGCGAATTGAATGGTTGGTCGATTCTGTGAGACCCAATAAAATGTATTGGCTAATTGTCAAAGGCTTACAGCTTGCGGCTTTCGGTCTTATGCAAATCAGGCCACCAGCTGTGCAGTCAGGTGTAACATGCCCGATAATTGTAATGGTTGCTTAAAGCCGCAGAACCGGCAAAATGGATAGGATAGGCAATCAGTTCACCCTTCAACAACAAAGGGATTCAAGTGCCACAAAAAGGGAGATGTAAGCGTCCTGTCAGTATAAACTGACAAACTTCGAGCAGCAAATGAAGCGTGTGCTAAAACACGAGCTACCAGCTCTACAAAGGAAAAATAAATTAATAAAAAGTATTGTATACTTTAAGTACAAACTGGGCAACCATATTTAATTCAAGTCATCTACATGATGCTTAGGGCAAAAATTATTAAATGAAACTCGTTGCTAGCAAAGACAAGGGCGCTTTAGTCAAGAGTGACCAACTAGCAGATACTCTGCTAACTTGTGAAGATCGGAGGCGAAGGATTTATAGAGAAGCAGTTATTTAATATTTATATATGAATCGATAATTGAATCGTTAGTGAATAGTTTTCTTATTTAAAATATTAACATAAAGTGGTAAGAAAGCGACAAGACTTTATGCAAGAGTATGAAATCCTGTCACCAATGAAATATTAAGAAACTTAGAGAAGCGTGAATATTATCAAAGTAGTTGAACATGACGGGCAAATGTCAAAAAATTGCGGACATGATTAATGAAACGCCAGCGCCATCTAGCGTGAGAACTGGGCATTGCATGCAGGCGAAAGGCAGCATAAATTAGTTGCGCGATGAGCTGCAAAGAAATATATATGTAAATAATATGTGCATATATGCGTATGAACAATAATATATAATGAGAAAAAAAAATAATAATAATAAATGATACAAAGAAAATAAATTATGCATATTGTATATTCAAATGCAACCTAAATGAAATCATATTGATTTCAAGCGGCGTATACGTAATATACGTCAAGTTTATTTTTTAATTGTAGGCTCGGTTAATTGGGAAAGTTCTGTAAGCTATATAATGCTTGAAGTGAAAATAAAATGATTTCAACTGCACAAATTGTGGAAAACTTTTTAAAGCAACTGCCATTAAACTGTGACAAGGAGTTAAAAAGCAAATTAGGGCAAAGTTCTGGTTGGCGGCGTATGACGCACATTAAGAAGCAATTAAGAAAATTGAAAGCAAGAAAATCTCGGACCGACAACTGGGAAAAACTGGCATTAGCCTGCTGTCACAAAAACAAGCCACAACAACAGCTCGACAAGCACACACTCTCACACACACAGAGAAAGAGAGAGAAATTAACACAATTACAATCTGCACATGTGTTGGGCTCATAAGTCGCCTAAGACATGCGTTGGCTATAAAGAAAAACCCAATTAAAAGTGATAAAAGTTATTGAAGCGTTGCCGCTGCCTTGGTCTTTGCCATTGCCTTTGCCGTAGACCGGAACGCGCCCGCCAATCGGCCGAATGAAGGAAATAAAAGGCGCAGGAAATACGAATGGGCAACAGGCGAAAGGAGCCAGAAACTCGACCAGGACCAGGAACAGCAACAGAAACACCAAAGATCCAGATTATCACACGTTTGTGTCTAGATGCGGGACAGATACGTGGCACGCGCGGATCCACGTTGGAGGCAAAACCAGCTGGAAAGCTTTTATTTGTTTTTATTGCGCCATTTTTCAAATCAATTAGAGGATTTTCCTTGCTTGCAACGCGAACTGACAAGCCAAAGAAGATAAATTGAAGTCCTGGCCAATAAGCTGGCCAGTTATTGATAGGAAAGGTGTTGAAAGGCAACGACCTAAGGAAATCCGGGAAATGGACGCCTGCTCTTTTTTATTGGTAAATAAAAACAAGCCAAGCTTATCTAATGCGTGTAATAAATATCTAAAAAATATATACAACGGAAAAATTGCCAGACTTTTGGTAAAATTGTCATCTGAAGTGATGTAAGTGCCCACTA